TCAGTGGTTCCGCAGCGGCCGACAGCTCCAGGCAACGCGACGGACTTGGCGTCTTGCTGATGGCAGCGGACAAACTTCGACCGGATGAGGAGCAGCCAAGTCTCTTCCAACACGGCAACGGCAACGGCAATGGCGAGAGAGGAGGAGAAAAATCTAATTTGCTATATGAGGGATTTCTCAAATTATGAGCTCTTCTTACGGTAGTTTTGGTGTGCTTTGTTCAAAGGGTTAGTGCATATATATAGGAAGAAAAACTCCCCACCTCCACGTCAGCTATCGATACGATACTAATTGACGTTGCACCATCTACCTGCACTAATGGGTCTAAATAAACATTAAAGCCCATTATTAAATAAAGACACGTGCATTTAGAATTTATTAGGATTATTATACATGGGCTTTGAGCGTTGGAAAAAATGAGAGATTTATTATTTTTGGAATTAATTAATTTCATGGATAAAATAATTCCAAAAAAGTCTAGAATTATTATTTAAGCCGCGAAAAATACTTCGAAAGCTCTAAAAATTCGGGGAAAATTTCCAGAGACATTATGGAACATGAGAAACCCAAATAAAGTATTTGGAGCCCATGATAAGATAATTTGGAGCATTAAAAAATTAAATTATGCTCATAGACAAGTAGGAACAAGTTCTAGAAAAAGCTGAAAAAATCCCCGAGAAGTTTGTAGAGATTGATTGACGGATGAGGAACTAAAAGAAGTGACTTGTATTACAAAGAAAAGATTTTAGGAAGCTCTCAACAAAAACTTGAGCCGAGAAATAAAGAATTTGATTGTAGAAAAAGATAAAGACGTGCCGGAGAAGGAAAATCGACCTACTAACGTATTTTAAAGACTTTGCTCACTCTCAATACACAAAGAAGCAACAAGCAAACATCACATCATCCAAAAGCCTATCAAAATTAGAAAACTTTGAAAATTCACATTTTTCTTATAACTAAATTTGCGCTAGCTCAAACTAAACTTGGTAAATTTTATCCAAATATTAAAATAATTCATTTTATTTAGTGTGTTATATGTACAACCTAAAATCGAAAATTTTGTGGTGTGACAATCTACAACATTAGCATCAACTTTCATTCACAGTTTTTGACCGATTTCATTCTCGGTTTCATTAATGGTTTGGCAGACAGTTTCACCAATGGTATCCCGCATGGGTGCATGGATTGTATACCTTTGAGACTTCGTTCCTCAGGTAAGTTCTCACCATATTCCCCATTCTTATTCCAAACGTTTTAGTTTTTTTCGTGAAACCTGTATGTAGCCGATGGCAACGGATCTGCTTGATGTTTCGAAACTGCTTTTGATTTTTCCAATCCACACGTGGGCAATGTATGTATCCGTCACCCATATATTGTTTACTATGAACCCCTATGGTGGCCTTCACAAATGAATCTGTTCCTTCCACAAACTTGGTAGACATAGGATCCAAGTACATCCATATGCTATTCGTCCGTGAATAACATAATGTGTATGGCATAGGTTGTACTATATATATGTCGTTCAGTTTAATGGAAAATGCCCTCTAAGATTCGACGTCATTTATAACTATGAGTAACAAGATACCAACCTTGAGTAATAATATAAGTGACGTACAACCTTCACAATTTGGGTAAGTGGAATGTAGTGGCCAAAAAAAGTGGCGGTGAAAATCGTTATCACCACTACCTTGGCAGATGATCTGATGGTGGAAACTATGGTGATTTTCACCATCGGTCTATCCGCCAAGCCAGTGGTACGGTGATAACAATTTTCACCGCTCAAATGGCCATTGCGCTTGTCTACCTTCAAACCGGTGGAGAAACTTCTTTCCTCTGCCGGTTTGTAAGTGTGTGGAGCAGTGGTCCAAAAATTGGGAGGTGAAAATTATTTTCACTATTGGGTCAGTGTATGATTTGGCAGTGATAACCACCGGGGTTTTTCACCGCCAAATCATATGCCAACCCGATAGTGAAAACAATTTTCACCATCGGTTTTCCACCCCATCGTGCCCCGCCGCCTTTGAATCGACGGTGGGAATTATCACTGTCGGTTCTTACAAAACTAACGCTAAAAGTGTTGGTGCCATTTTTTAGGGGTGACTAGTAATATGAGCTGCCTCTGAAGATAGGCTTGTAGATGTGGCTAGGGGCCCGAGGGCTACCACTACCCTAAAAAGCCAGCGCCTCTATGAATTTATTCGGTGGTAATGGGCGGTGCTGAAGATTGGTTTGTAGAGGTGGATGGCTTAGTGGCACTACTACAAAACTTACATTCACTATCGGCCCATCACTGCAGTTTGTTTTGGAACCGATAGTGATAGAGTATCACTACCGGTTGTTTTAGAAACGACAGTGATAGAGTATCATTGCCGGTTCGTGTCTTCAACTGGTAGTGATAGCACAATCGGCACTGATAGGTGGACTATCAATACCAGTTCATGGCTTAAACCGGCGGTTATAGGCATGGTGTTATCACTGTCGGTTCAAGCCACTTAACCGACAGTGATAACTAGTAGTGATATTTCACCAATCACTGCCGGTTCATGGTTGAACTGACAGTGATAGCTGTTTGGAACAAAAAAAATCATAACTATTTCTTCTGAGATCGCATGAAGATAAATTTTATATCAAATTTGTGGAGTTTAAAGAGATCTAAAACTTTGTAGTTCTCATATCAGATTTAATATAAGTTCTTGGATCAGATTTAACATGATTAACAATGTCGAATGGAGACAAAGTCAACATCAAAGCTATAGTACTCGACGAGATCTACATCTTTGCAGGTAAAACATTTTCATTTGAGATTGTTTTGGTATCAAATATACAATATAAGATTAAAAAATGTGTAGTTAAAAAAATAGCGTTAGCTATATAGTTACATGTGTCAAGTAGCCCAGTTAGTTTGTGCACGTGAGGGAACGTGAAAGTTGAGGTCGTGAGTTTGAATTAAAAAAACACATATTTTTCTCATTTTATCTCCTATCACTGTCGGTTGCACTGATACTCTATTTTAGGGTAGTGTGGGGCTTGAGGGCTGCCACTACCCTAAAAAGTCACCGCCCCTACAAATTGATTCTGTGGTAATAGGTGGTGAAAACATTTTTTGTAGTAGTATCATTTATTCCTAAAAATTGATACTCTATTCTTTTTTTGACCGGGTACAACTTGGACCTACACAACCCACACACTCCACAATCACACCACATGCACACACACGTGTGCGTGTCCATACAGACACAAAGAAGAGATTGGGAGGCTCTTTAGCCTCTAGCGCGATGCGTAATACCACTGAACGTGCATGCGTACGTGTACCCTATTTTTTTGGAAAAAAATTCTAAAAAAATGCGACACCGTGGTTTGAATCCTGGTGGGTAACGTCCCACTAGACAAACCTTTGTGAACCACATGCCCTTTCGCAATTGATACTCTATTCTGGAGTAGTGTGGGGCCCAAGGGCTGCCACTACCCTAAAAAGCCACCGCCTCTATACATTGATTCTGTTGTAATTCTCTAGAAAAATGCAACACCAGGGTTTGAACTGGATAGTGCATATTGGACAGACTTATCACTGGACCACGTGCCCTTTCGTAATTAATACTCTATTCTGGAGTAGTGTGGGGCCCAAAGGCTGCCACTAATTTAAAAGGCCACCGCCTCTACAAATTGATTCGGTGATTCTCTGTGGTAGTGTCATTTATTCCTTGAAATCAATTTTAAGCGGGGTTTAGCTTATATTTTTAGAAAATCACAAAGAATTATTAACTGCACCAGGAAATTAAGAGAAGCTTTTTCAGCCCAAATTCCACGCACTGCATCCCAGAGGATTCGAACTTATGGCTTTTTTCCTCTCACAAGGCTCCCCTATGGTATATTGGCACGCCACACGTTGATTTGTCACTAAGTACAATTGCTATTCTTTTATATTAATTTTCATGAATCTTGTATTATTCAATATTTCAGCTGCTAAATGATCAAAAAGAGAAATGCTTAGACTACAAAGTTTTACAAACCAACGGGTACTACAACTATGGTATATGGCACATTTTTATTTGAGATCATTTGGAAAATTGAATATTTTAGATTTTAAATTTTAAGAATTTAAAATGTATATTTAAGCCCATAAATGATCTTAAATAAAGAACCGGCTAACTAGAAAGTTTTAGATCATGTTGAGCTCTAAGTTTTTATTTAAATATTATTTTGAAGGGTGGCTGACTTAGTCAATTACACCTATACTAGAAATCACCTATTTTCAGGGACGGTTGGCATAATAAATGGCTCCAAAAAAATGATTTCTATAGGCAGATCTTTTTATGTATCAATCGTCCCTAAAAATATGTATATCTATTTTTCAGCAGCAGTTTTATTAAGTCATCCACTCATGAAAAACAATTTTGAGGGGTGGTTCGAAAGCTACAAAACATTTATAGAGATAGTTTACTCTATGAATCATCGTTGATAACAATAGAAACTGATTATAAAATTAATCCGTGTAGTAGTAGTGATCTTAGCTCTTTTCCATGGACGTACGAAAAGAGGAACAACAAGTACTATTACGTATATGAGATATTTGGACGCAAAGGTTGGAAGGCCTCTAGCGCGCCCTTTGCGGCGCCTGCCACACAATATAATTAAGCTTTAATCTTGTCATAATGGACATCTGGCCAATATATAGAAGTTCCTAAATTTGAAGAACACAGTCTACTAGTGTACGTCATACAAATAGCAATACAAACAGTAACCCCAAAAGTTGTTATATATAGCAGTCGGCAATTGAGAGACATAACATATACTATTTACTAGCTATATATATATATATATATGGATTCAATTATTAAGATATATATATATATATATATATATATATATATATATATATATATATATATATATATATATATATATATATATATATATATATATATATATATATATATGGATTCAATTATTAAGATATATGTACTCAAATTAACCAGTGCCCAAGATCTAATCGACTGGCATCACAGCAGGTGGTCGTTGCCAACGTTGTCTGCTGTGCCGGAGCAGGCTTCGGTTACCTTAGCAAAACGGCCTCTCACCCGGGGTCTCACCTGCGCATAGGTTTTCCTGGATGCATATCTTATCTGCTTCACATAGCACCTCCTCATCCTCTTCTCCTTGTACCTCATCAACTTAACCTCCCTCTCCGTTGACTGATATACCGGCATTTGCAGCTGACTGTCGTCGGTCAGGGTTGTCTCTTTGAGCCTCGAGCTTGCGGCGTCTGTGAATGTGCTCCCACAAAATGACATCTGCATGAACCAGCAACTCTAAATCAGTGGAAAATAAAAGAAATGGGCCAGAAAGAGGTTTGTGGTTAAATCAGTTTAATTTGAGCAATTAATATGCATGAATTTATAAATATTATTGCATTTTATATAGGTTTCTGTGTCTTGCATGATCAAAGCAAAATTAGGAGAGCTAGGCAACTAAATAACTCATTGCCTTCGTCATTTATTATTTCGATATGAATCTGCACTTTGATGGATGTTGAATGGGCCTACATGTCTGATGAACATCAGATATTGCCTTGGTAGCGCGATTTGTTTGGGGTAGAAAATTAGATCTTAAGACAAGTGATTAAGTTGTTTGTATATATATGCCACGAAAGTGCATTGATTAATCACGTATTAGTTTCCTAAAAAAAGCCAAGTGTAGCAAAAAGCAAACAGCAAATATGCAAATTATCCACATAAAATGAGACAACTTATTTCCTATTTCATCAAACTTTGGCATGGACAAAGCTTCAGGATAGATTTAGACACCAGTTGGACATATGCATGGAAATCTTTTGACATATTATATTTTGGTTTTTTAGAAGATTTCGTTAGTTTCTTTATCATAACAATCAGACAAGCTAGGTCATCCATCCAAATAGGTAGATACATCTGTGGACGTACTACCGACATGCCTGTATATTGTTACAGTTGACTTCGACCATACAAATGTGGAGTGCCTGCAGTTAACTATATGTATCATGAGGCAAGCATAAATTTTCGAGAGCAAAATAAACCAATACAGTGGTGAAGAAAATGGAAAAAGAAGCCCAAGCTTTCTCCCTTTTATCTACATATAATTTCTAAGTAAGTATATCACAATATATAGATTTGCTGATAAGAATATATAATCAATTCAGTTAGTAAGTATACCACAATTAACCTTACCCTTTTCCATATCTATTCCCTCTCCACAAGCAAATCACTATATAGGTGATTAAGTTGGACTTGTTAATATCTCTCAGTCCTCCCACACAAGCTCTATGTATGAGAGTTATTAGTTTTTGCTCTGATGGAATTGCTGATGAATTTGTCGATTATCAACAATAAACCTGTACAACACCTTGTAACTGTTTTCCCCTTTATTCATAAAAAGTAAGCCCCCTCCTCTCAAAATCCCTAGATTTTATTAGGTGCAGAACATGAGCCCTGACCATCCATGCATGGTAGAAAATTTTTATAGTCTGCAAGACCCCGAAATCAGGTGCTGGTGCTATTGCTGGCACAAAATAAAAAGAAGCGACACACACAGAGACACAGAGAGAAGGATTGGAAGAACCCCACATATGATCTTTCAAAAAACAAAAAAGAAGAGGAAGAACCACATATGGTGAGTTCGCTGGTCTAGTCTAGAATAAAAGGCAGGCACTGAAAGAAAGAATCGTGATCAATCAAGAACAGAAAAGAACGTGAAGCAACTGAAGGCAAATCCACAAAAATCCAGCCCAGGGACGGGGCCAGACGAGTGTTTTTACTGATGAGATTATTCTTTCCATGCTCCCTACTACTTACGATGGTGGCGCTTGCTGCTGCTGTCTCCGTTTGCCGGGCGGCGCCCCCGCTGCCGAGGCCCAGCCTGGCGTCCACCTCAAAGGTGAGCCCGTTCCCGTTCCCGTTTCCGGGGTGGTGGTACTGTGGCCCAAACTGGTCAAACGCCCGGTTCTCAGCTGGGGACAGGTCGTCGTCGCCGACCTCGCTCGCAGGTGGCGGTGGGTGGTCGAAGAGCCAGGCGATGCTTTCATGGTGGTCATCGTCGTCCTGATTGCCAAAGAACTGGAACTCGTGCAGGCACCCCGGTGGTTGCTGCTGCTTCTTGGGGCTGGGCTCATGATGGTGAACCGCAGGGAAGACGGAGAACAAGGCCCGGCTATTGAGGTCGTCGTTGTCAGCGCCGGTGTGGAAGAGGTGCTGGCAGCAGGCGGCCGCACTGCACACACCGCATGCTGGCCCCGACATGTGGATCGATCGCGCGCGCTGCTCGATCTTGAGAGGTCTGCTGTGTGGAGGTGTGGCGCAGAAGATGGATCGATCAATCGGTGACTGGGGACGAGGGAAACTTGTTGAATTGAGTTATATATATTGAGGCAGGTCAGGGTGTAGTGTAGCTGCTGGAATAGGAAGGAATAAATAAATAAAGCTGCTTCGTAGCTGCTAGGGCTAGTTACAATTCCATGGGGTAGCGCGCGGCAGTTAAACACTGAAAAAGGAAAGGCCAGGGGAAGCTGAAGAAAAGCAGATGTCCCTCGCAAAATCTGGTAGCCAATGCCCGCGGCAGAATAGATATGGACAGGATTCTGGTATACCGTCGCGGGAGATAACGTGCCGGTGAGCTAGCAACGCTTAAATAAATTGTTTCAAAAAATTGACAACTAACGTTTCTTGACTAACATTCTGGTTTCTCTTTATATATAGATAGTTTTTATTATGTACCTAGACGTAATAGATATGTTTCTTTTTTTTCTTTAGCTACTGCTTGTAAAACTCTATTGTTGTATTTTTATTTGCTTAATTTAATTCCAGGAGAGGTTATGGGTCCTTCTGTTTCCCTCTATCTATTTATCTATCTATATCCGTCTGACCGTTTGTCTATCTATCTATCTACATGAAGCTAGGTAGCTTGGTCTTTAGTTGTGACAGCATCTTTGCAATGAGAAGCGAGAAGTACTGCAACGAGTTATTGCCCGGGTCTGTGTGGACCAGATAAAGAAACTAAACAAGACTGCGCAAAGAAAACCAAATCATTTGGGTGCATAATATAACTCAACTTAGTGATGCCACCTTTCTGTTAGCTCCGACTTCTAGCTCCCATCCTTTAGTTGTAGTGTGGATATTCTCTCATTATGCATAAGTAGTCTCAACATGTGAACTGCGTGTAGCTCAATTGGTTGGGTTTCTTGTGGTATAACTTATTCACATAAGTTAAAGTCCTCAAGCTGAACGCGCAATCATTGTTGGGTTAGAACCCTCCATCACCGTCGGAATTGCTTCTGGTGGAGGACAACCGGTAGTGATGGGGTTAGTTATCACTACTGGTTTATAGACCTGTTAGTGATAATACGCTATCACTGCCGGGTCAAAGCATGTTATTATATACTTGTCTTTAGCGACCTATCAGTGATTGCGTGTTCTGGCGCAGTGGTTAAGAGATTTTAATAGTTTGGTTGTATTATAGAAGTTAGTGGTCGAAATACGCATCAAATTAATACCGTGCAAAGCAAAATATGACAAGTATTTTTTGTTCACTGAGAGTAGCACACTAGTAGCTATGCAAGTACATTTCTTGTTAAAAGTGCCCGCCAATTAGTCCTTCAGAAAGTATATAAGTGTTGGCTTTACAAAACTGTCGAACAGGAAGTTGCATGCATGGTGCATTTGGCTGGTGAATAAAGACATTGTTGGTTGTTTACACAGAAATAGAATCCTACCTTTGGGTGGCGGAGCCCCCTGGTGGCGACAGATAGGCACGCACATATTACAGCCACGATGGCAATGGCAGCGACAGGGAACACATGCACAAAAGCGTGAAGTTTGCATGCATCAGGAATCAATCGTTGGCCCTACCCACCTGCTTGGAATTTTGTTTGCTTTTCACAAAGCTAGCTGGAGATATATATCTATATATCTATCTCCATTGGATCCTCAGCTCAGCTGAATATATACGACTACGTCTTGTGGTGCTGCAGGATAGAGGCATGACAAAGCTGGAGGAGCCTTAGCTTGCTCCGATCCCATCCATCGGTTGCCTCATATTTGATTCGAGTTCGACGGGGGCGTGGGCGCACACACACAGACATGAGATGTAAGGAAGCTAGCAGAGCCTCTCACCACTCGTCTGGACCTTAGATTGAGAATCAGTATACGAAACATACAGCGCGCGCGTGGGCTGGATCAGTTATCAGGCCCCTGTTTAAAGTTGAAAATGGACGGAAACGAATGGAAAATTGCTCTATCATTTTCGTTTTCATATCTTTAGACGGAAACGGGAGTGGGAGCCGAACAGCCGTGAACAAAAACGGTAGCGGGATAAACGGAAATACAAAAACGGGTAAATACGATCGGAAAATAGACGAAAATGAATGGTAAGCGAAAACTTAAGCCGGAACATGTATGCCGCATATGATAGCTCAAATACAGAGACCAAAGTGTAATACCAAATATCAAATATGCACTAACCACACATAAATATTAGTACAATAAAAAATATCCATACATCACACAAATATGAAGTATCCATACATCACATAAGACAAGAGACATAACACACCACGTGCTCACAAGTCACAAGTCACAAGCAGCATGTGTTTAGCACAAATGGGCAAACAGCAATACACATGTGTTCACAAACAGAAATTACAGTAGTCCACCAGCACCCATACAACATGTTTATTTAATGGTTCACCAACAACAGAGAGCACACACACCACCACGGCACATCAGTTTTTCACAGCTCACCATCTTCATTCATTGCATTTGGAGCACTTTGCCCTTCTCCCTATAATTTTCAGCACATATATTCAAGATTAATTGGAAATGTAAGTCTATGTTATTGTCTTTAGCTATTACAGAACTGTTTCAGAAGCCAAGCTAAATACCTCATCATCATCAGTGGTGGGGGGACTAGGTCTCCAGAGGTGATAGTTCAGCCACAATTGTAGGAATGTATTTGGGATCTAAAAAATCAAAATAAAGACCACGTAATATTGTACTTGATTGATCAATTAGCAAAATAATATGTGACAATTAGATTGAAGAACTAAGGAAAATATTACCTTTGCTTGCTGCATGTATCCAGTTCTTGGCGCAAATCAGTGCTTGTACCACCTTAGGATCTAGACGATTACGATGGGGATCAACAACTCGCCCAGCCCCACTAAATGCAGACTCATAAGCTACTATTGACACTTGTATTGGCATCATATCCCGAGCAATTTGTGCAAGAATTGGATATTTATCTATATTGTTCTTCCAGTAAGCTAAAATATCAAATGGATTTTGTTTCAACAGTGGCTTTGCCATGTATTTGTCTAACTCATTTACTTCATTTCTATCATGCCCACAATCATCATATAAGAAACTTGTAACACCGCTGGTGTTACGAACTTGCTTAGTACCTGGGTTAAGTCCTCGGAGAAATCAAGCCAAATGAGTTTTCAAATTTTAGCAAGTTAAAACACACATGAAATGGCATGTGTATCTTATATGACTCACTTATATAGTTAAGAAAAATAAAATGAGTGTTGTAAGTTTATTTTAGGTGAAAATGCGCTAATGAGATCCTAATAAGAAAAACTGAATAAGTTGTTTTAATTGTTGGCATGAAAAATAATTTTTATAAACCGAAGCGTAATATAACTTAGGATTAAAAAGTGCCATTTTTGGAGGATTATTTGATGCAAAATAATTAAACAATGTCTACATATTTTGTTTCTATGAGTTAGTACGAAGTATGGGCTATGTCACGGTAGGTTTGTTAGTTGAAATCGACAAGGTTTAGACTTTTTAAAAATTAGGGCAAAAGTGTTAAGGAAGGTTAGTTCTAACCGAACCTTTGAATTCTAAGTCAGAAATGATAATGGACAATGCTATTTTGGCATTTAAAATCCAACAAAAATGCCTAAACACTAACTTAATGTTTTCGCACAGTTGGTTGCATCAAAGTGAATACATGGGTAGGGTGTAGTCCCTGAGTGGGTTGGAGTTGTCGTGGCGTCGCAAGAATTTCCCCAACATCCCTATAACGTGTTGCGGTCAGGTTTGGCACTCCGTTCGTGAATCAGCGCCTGGCTTGACGAACTTATTTTGGCGTGTCTCTATCTCTCTCGGTAATTCATCTAAGTTTGCGTTTGATGCTCCTTGGGATAGCCTTTAGGACCCTCTTGAGCCTTGGCAAATTGGTTTGGTCTCAACCGAGCTAGTTTGGTTTTGGTCAGAGCTTTAAAAATCGTGCAAGTCACTGATAGCAGCCGCTCGGCCAAAGTTCACTGTCACCGCGTGCACGGCGCGGTTGGCGATGAGCTCGAGCATGGCTGGGTTGTTGCCGCTCGGTCGGCGCGCGCTCGGTCGATGTCGCGCGGCATCCCTAGCTATGTGTGGCTGTTCTAGGTGGGCCACGGCCTAGCTCCTGCTGTAGCTCGTGGGCTTACCGGCCTTGGGTGGCCGGCCGCCGTGCCGAGCACCAGTTCGGGGCTAGGTTGTGGCTATCATGGCTCGGCCGATGTGGTGGCTGCCCCGCCCCTTGTTCTATCTACCGCGACGATGACCCAGTCACCATGGATATGAGAAGCCTCACTGTCTTGCTGCTAGCCGCCATGAGAGCTCTGCTCGGGTCTGGCTCCTCCGAGTTAAGCGTGTCATGACAAACCCTCCCCGCTTCACCAGTCGCGTGCACGTGCTCATGTCGCAGCGGGTGATCAAAGCCGACCTATCTTAATCCTCCTGCCCGCGCGCGTGTGCCTCTTCACGGCATGGCACTTCTAGAGCTTGCCTATCCACCCCTCAAATTCGTCTAGCTGAGGCCTCTCGCAACCCGATTCTTTGCACGAGTAAGTGGCACTAGAGGCCAACTAGGCGCTCCTTCTTTTCCACCCCCGGCCAAGAGCTATCGACTGTCAATTGGGCATTTTGCTTGCCGTGGTTCTTGGTCGCCACCATGACCTGGAATTGGGGAGAGAGGTAGGGTTGGAGAGATAGTAGTTCGATTGCTGGAGACTGTAAACTTGTCTTGACCCCCTCCACTTGGTGCTCGTGTTGTTTTGTCCAGGAGGCTCACCATCGGCACGGTGATGCGCCGGTGCCACGCTCGGCATGCCACTGTGAGGTGCGGGCGCACGTGGCCAGGTCGCCTCATCGCTCCTCCATCTCAACCGCCGCCACGGCGTGAACCCCAATGAGCCACTAGTGCTTATGCGTTACCTCCACCGCCTCGATAGCACCTTAGGCCACCAGACCGGCCACGC